CGATTCATAACAGTAGCAAAATTACAGTTATAGAGTAGCAACGAAAATAATTTTATGGTTGGGGGTCACCACAACATAAGGAACTGTATTAAGGGGTCGTGGCATCAGGAAGGTTGAGAACCGCTGGTCTACATTGGGGGTCACCACAACATGAGGAACTGTATTAAGGGGTCGTGGCATCAGGAAGGTTGAGAACCGCTGGTCTACAGGATCATTTCCAATAGAGGCAGTAGACTAGATTTTTTTGTGTTGGACCTCAGAGTTCTAGACACATAGAATTCATCATCCTTGACGCATACGCCACCAGTTGTCATCATTGGTCCAGAAGTGGCACTCTTCTTCCCCCTTAATTTCTAAGTTTGTTCATTGATTAATTATCATTTTGATAATATGAATCACAAAAACTTAAGAAGATATTTAAGTAGCCTTAACAGCTATCTATATGATCATTTGCCAGCTTGATTATCTTTTATTAATCATTCTTAGTGAACAATTAATGTTTTACATTAAACATTCTTAATAGTATGCAAAGATTGACTAATCAACACAATGTTCCTATGTCAAAATGTTAATATGTCAGTGTCATATTTATCATTGGGCCATAGTTGGCCTTCTTGGATTCTTTTAACAATACAATGAATATCCTTTAAAAACTACCCAAAGCAAGACAAAGACTTTACTATACTCACATTGGTCTCCATGCTACTAACACACAGAGGCAACCAGGGAGCTCAGGACATGGGAAACGGGTGCTCAAATCAGCCAGGAGCATCCATTCTAAAAGTACAAAGCAGAACAAATGATAAAAATATGGAAACATTCTCTCCATTTACGCTGCATTTCTCCTTTCATTTTATTAAGTCATTTAAGTATGTATTAAATTGTGTTTTTGTTTTTGTTTTTTCTTGAGAAAACAAACAACGTTGAACAAGGCACTGACCAAACAAGAACATGAACTCTGAGTTTCAGTGTTTTTAATATATAGTAATAGTATTTCTGGCCTCACCATATATTTTCATAATTGGACAATGATTCACCCTCTTTATTTATATATTGGTTTACTGATTCTTTCATTGATCCATTTATAATAATGGAATCAAATTCCATGAACACAAAACTAAAAACAAAATATTCCTAACATCTGTCCATAGGATTATTTCCAACAGAAAGTATATACTAGATTTCTTATTGTGTTGGGCCTCAGAGTTCCAGACACATGGTATTCACCATCTAGTACTCATACTCTACCAGTCGTCATCATTGGTCCAAGGTTGGCTCTCATTATTTTCAATCAGGTCTACATGTTTTAATTAATTCAACCATTCACTATAATAAAACAAATGCTTAGAGGTCATTAAAACTTGAACCAGGATCCTGTTTCTTATATAAATTAATATAATACTTCATATTAGCCTCATTTTACTATTTGAATGTGACTAAATTATCTTTGTAGAGTGAGGTTTAAATCAACTTTGACGCAAAATTAACATTGAATAATACACTTTACATTCATTAATTAATTGAACGATTAACTGTGAGAATGAATAAAATTATCTTATTTTTTTCTCCTTAATTGACCACCGATTGCTGAATTGGCTCACATGTGACCTTTATTCATTTTATTTGTATATGTAACTTTATTCCCTTTCAATAACTGTATTAACACCCATGACAAACCACCAAACTAGAAGCAATTCCTTCGACTGTTACTTACACAAGTTTCTCCAGTCCTTAATTGAACCATTGTGCAATCGTTCTGTAGAGTACAAAGCAAATATAAAAATAGATTAAATTAGATAGATCAGCCTAGATTAGTATTTTTTAAATTGATCCAAATCAACAATTGATTAAGAATAAATCTTAGTGCTTGTTATATATTAAAAATCTGAATGGGGCTGGCCGAGTGGCGCAATGTTTAAGAAGTGGCTTGAGACTCCAGAGGCCCCGGTTCAGATCCCACATATGAGAGTCAGTGACGCTGCCCTCCATGGCTAAAATGCTGAATGGCAGCTCGACCTGGAGCTGGGCTGCCGTGAGTCGCCGGCGATGGCGTAGGCTACAGCCCCTGCTGCAGTGGGTTGCCATGGGCTACCCTGTGTAGCCAGCAGCCAGCGTGAGCGGCCAGCAGCCGCAGTGAGCGGCCATCCAGAAGCCGGCAACTGATCTGCTTTGCCCAGGGAGGAGTGCAATGATGGTGCCAACTTGGGCCAGTGAAGCAACGTCCTCCACAACTAGACTGAAGAACAAAAGGACAGCAACTTGTCTGTTCCCCTTCCCCCAATTCCCCAGCACTGTTCCCATCCCCCCCAATCCCCTAATAAAAATTTTAAAAAACAAAACAAAACTCTGAATGGTTATTGATTGGTTGATTCAAGTATTAAATTCAACTGATATAGTGAACACCTTTGAAACCAACACCAGACAAAAGAGTAAGAACTATGACTATGACACATATCTGTTTATATGCCCCCTGCCAAGCCAGGTAAGAGCTGTAGCTTCTTTCTAAATGAATCTTGCTTGGAAAAAATTAGGTTAATCTGAATTCCAGATTTGAGCACATTCTCAACAATTGTCTATGCTTACTTATCCCACTTTTATATACATATGTATGTATATAGCTACACATGGAGCCATTTATCTGACATTTTAAAAAAATTTGCACCCAAAAGTCAGAAAGAGAACTCCTATTTAAATATAGTCACCATTCCAAAAGAATAAGAGCCTTAGTTTATCTTTGTTTTCTGGGAAGCAACTGTGTAGAACTGAATTCATCACGCCCCTTGTTTCATCACATATGGTCCTCACTGGTCCATGCTTTGCCTTCTTTCAAATAATTGATTAAAAGATTAACGTATTCTTTTACACATTAATAATAACATCATTAATATTTGTGACTCTACAGAAACAGGATAATATTAATGCTTGACCATATGTTCATTAAGCACCAAAAAAAAGATCACATTATGTTTTCTTGTTCCTTTTAAATTAAAAAATAATGAAAATCATTGCATTAATCGTAACTGGTCATTTGACACATTCTCAACAAAGGTCCATGTGTAAACCCTCTCTAAATTATGATTATCTAATCAATAATCAATTTAAGTAAATGTTTTGCCATTCCCTTAATAAAACAAAAAACCAACAACCCAACCCAGAAAAATAACATAGGCTCTTACATCCATCTATCTAAATGCTCTTTACCCAAAAGGGTCAGCTTTAATAAATTTATTTTACTAGAACTCAGTGCTTCAGAAATGTATTAACAATGATTTTTATATTATATGTATTACATTATGTAGTCTCATATTTGAACCAGGAATAACCCATTTTGTCTTTATTCATTTATATATTTCTTAATTTATTCATTCATCGATTGAGTGAAAACACAATACTCAGAAACCCAAGAACAAACAAACTCCCGCATACTTTTACCTCCTAACATAAGTTTATTTCCCATACAGGTAACAAAGAGGAGTTTTTGGTAATGGACCTCAGAGTTACAGGGTTTAATCAAAATCCTTGATTTCAGACACCCCAGGGTACTCATCATTGATCCAGGTTAAGCAATCTTTTGCTTCCTTTATACCTTTGTTTATTGATCCATTCATTGACCCACTAAGTAATAAAATCAACATTCATAAATTTTTTTAAACAGCCAAGAACAAGATCTTGAATATGACCAAGATTTGTTTATAGGCTTTTTCCCCCATGAACTAGGTCTTTTCTCTTTTTGCAGTGTCCCTCGGTGAGGTATGTACGGATCAATGAGCATCCTTGCTTCCTAGGCCTCGTACTCCAACCACCTTCCATCTCTGTCTGTCCTCCGCCCTCACTTAGGAGCTGTCCAGTAGAACTTTGCGTGATGATATGAATGTGCCATAACTGCGCTCTCCGGTGTGGCTACCATCCGCCACAGGTAATGAAGGACTTGAACTGTGGCTAGTGCAACTGAGGAACTGAACTTAAAATTCATTTCATTTTAATTATTTTAAATTTAAATAGCCACAGGTGGCTAGGGGCAACCATATTGAAGAGTGCAACCCTAGAATTGATAACTGGGTAAATGTTTAAATCAAACGCAGTGCAAAAATAAGATGGATTACTATTAATAAGCTTTGAAAATGAATAAAATGTCTTCCATCTTATTTTTAACCACAATTGTATTGAATTCGGTTAACCATAATCTTTGTTTCATAACACATTCATATCATTGGTCTATGTATGGCTTAACTGAAATAATTGAATGAACACTAATGAAAAATTCACCCCAATTGACAAGCTCTTTTGACTATTATTTACTTTAGTCATTAAGTTTCTTACCCACAAAGGTAACGGCCAAGATCTTCATCTGCACAGACTGATTCAATCAGACATTGTCTTCTGCATTCTGTGGAGTCAAACACCAATATTCAAAGAATGAACAGTCCAGATTTAGACTGAATGAAAGGACATGATACTAGGTTAAGCATGAAGTTGATTCAAGACTTTATCATTGAAAAATTCAATCTATCCCCATAAAGTGTGTACGGCCATGATTAAGATACCTGAATACTCTAAATTTCTGCTATAAGCTCGTTTCCATACATGAAAAAAGGAGGCCACTTTTTAATAATGGACCTCAGAGTTACAGATGGCTTTAATCAAAATGTTTGATTCAGACACCCTCCAATCTCATCATTGGTCCAGGCTTGGCACTCTTTTTCTGTATTCACTTATGCCTCCATTTTCCCATGAATCACAAACTCCCAAGAACAAGATCCTTGATATAACTGTGAACTGTCTGAAGGCTGATGTCTCACAGAGCTTCAGGACTATAGTTCAGTGGAAACCTCCCTTCATAAAGGACCACAGCTAAAACTGGTCCATCATTAGGCCATGTTCATTTAATTGGGCCAGTTTTACACATGGTGTCATGAATAACCAAAACCCACAATGGTATCCCACATCTACTACGCAGACAATATGTTCTACCTTCTAACAGCTTCCTCTAGACAGTAATAGCCTGGCAGATCTCTACCAATATGGAAATGCTTAAATCAACTGTGGCGCAGAAATAATATGGAATAACAAACACTGTGTAAATTCATTAAATGCCTGCCATCATTTTAAAAAATGAATCTCAGTTGTGCTGAAATGGGTTCATTCTACTCCTTGGCCCAAAACAAATCCCCACTGTTGGTCCCTACTTAGTGTTCTCAGATTTTATTTTTGTGTATACAGCCTTTTGTTCCATGGAACCACGTCAGTGACTGCACGTGACCAAACCATACAAGCCAACGACAGGAACTCTGTCACTTACATTGCTCTTGCCCACAGACAGGGGTAACAGCCGAGATCTTCATTACTGGACAGGGACTGAAACCACTGCGAAGTGTTCATTCAGTAGGAAAGGTGGATGTTTAAAGGAATAAAAAGTGTAAATTTAGACTTTAAATAGAAGTTAGTTCTACACTACTGGATTAATCATAAACATTAGTTTGTGTCACATTTTCATCATCAATCCAACAGTGGTATCCGTCTCATCTATTGACTTACTAAGTTTTTAGTTTGAAGTAATACAATAATAATACAATGACCTTTTAATCTACCACCCCACACAAGAACTATAACTATTATTAATACCTGTCTATATACCCCTACCAAGTAGCAAAAATGACAGACAATTTTTTAATGGAGAAAACTTCTGCAAAATGGGATAAATTTAAATTCTTGTTTCATGAAAAAAATCTGACCAATGGGCCACACTGTACTTTCATTCATGTATTTATTGATTAGTCTATTTTTTTATTTAACAACTCAAAAGATAATTTAATTATCTGCTCTTTTTTCCTAAAGAAAATGGTAGAGCCTTTTACTACCCAAAACTAAATACTATTACATACAACTTTCTATCACAGCACTGTCTGTACTAATGGAACTTTCCGCAGTGAGAAAATGTTCCCCATTAGCACAGTCCAATATGGTATCCACTGGCCACATATGGCTAAAATGCAGCTAGTGTTACTGAGAAACTGAATTTTTATTTTTAATTAATTTGAATTTAAGTACTAATAGCAAGATGTATTCAGACAGTAGGATCTATATGATCTATATACTAAAGAAGAAGGATCCTGGATCTTTTTTATTTAAGTGGACTTCAAGAGGAAAAGAATCATCATGTTCCTTCATACATCACATATGCTTCTCACTGGCCCATGGTTTATGCTATTTTAAATAATGGATTGAGATGTGAAATTATTCTTTCACTCACTTATCCAGAACTGGTGAACCTGAAGGACACTGGACAAGAATGCTGAGTGACACTAAATCTAACCATTGCCTTATTACTCACAGAAATCATTGACAAAATGCATTTACATTTTCCTTTTTAAATACAATTCAATGAACACAATATAATTAGTCATTTCTACAGTTATGTTTTCTATATTCATGCTTAGATCTTTTCCATGTTTCAATAACTATCTAATCACTTCCATTTTATTTTTATTATTGATATTTATTAAAATAATTTATATCATGTGTTTATTATGGTTTGTTATATTATTGAATTTATCATAGTAAGCATTATTGATTATGGTGTAATTATGTAAGTTTTTTGTCCCTATTTAAAATAAGACACACAACCAGAAACTCACCAACCCAGAAAAACAAAACTGATATTCTCATCTATCTACTCTACGCTCCCAAGGAGAAGCAGCCTCCGTCTATTTTATTTGAACTCAAAATTTCAGAAATGTATTAGCAATAATCCTTGGTTCATTGGCTCCTTTCATAATTATATAAGGTATAGCCCTCCTCTGTATTTATACTTAATTCATGCATTGGTTAACTTATAATAATCTATATTCACGAACAGCAAAAGATCAAAAATACATCCTTGAATCTTTTCTCACTTCCTCTGGAAGCATTTCCCATTGATGCAATGGACCTGAGATATAAACCGGGTTTAATAAAAATATTTTCTTCAGATGCCCCACACATATTCATCATTGATCCAGAGTTGGTATTCTGTGCCTTCATGTAATGTATTGTTCTTGACTTATTTGTTGATTCATCAATAATCATATAATCAATGTCCATGAACAAGGAAAATAATACCAAGATCCTTGAAGGTATGAACATGTCCTGAAATTTAACTTCTCACAGCCGGAGGACTAGCCCTCTTGGTGCAACGCACCTCAGTGTTGCAAACGTTCGTTCGCCTACTTCCTTCCATCATATCAATTCCATATTCCTCGTGGTTCCATACTTGGATCTCTTTGATTTAACATCCATATTTTAAAGATGATACAATGAACTACCATTTTATACAAAATTAAGAAAAAATTTCCCTTTTCTTATGTCCTCCCCCTCAATGGGTTCATAGCCTATAACAACATCAGTGGGGACGTTTCAACCCACTGTGGTACAAAAATAAAATGGAATAGTAAGATGTTCTGAAAATGACTGAAATGCCTTTCTTCTTTTTTCACTTAATGAATTCAGTCATGCAGAAATAGATTAATCATATTTCTGAATTCTTAACACATTTTAATCACTGGTCAATGCATGACTACCTTTGAATTACATATGTATGTAGCCATTTATTCCTTCAAAACGTCTCAGTGAATACCCCTGGCCACGCCCCCACGCAGGAATATGAACTTTGATTATTCCTTACATTGATCTGCAACCTCTTTACCCAGAGGTAAAAAGCAAGATGGTCACCATGAGATAACAATAAAATCTGATAGTCAATCTACATTTAGCTATTTTAAATGATCGAGAACCAAGTAACCATGAGTCCCAGTTTGTATCCCATTCTCCACATTTTAAAAGAGAGAGCACTACCTTATGTGTATTAATTTATGCAATTTTTATTTTAAATAATGTAATGAACACCAGTGAATCTAGTGTGGTACCCACAAAGGTAAGAGCCAAAATCATCTTTTCTGTTGAACTTTTTGCAAAATTGGGTAAATGGAAGATTCACTTCATGGCACAATCTCACCTAGGGTCTAAGGTTAGCCCTAATATGTTTATTCATTCATTCATTTAATTACTTAATGGGGTAATAAGATCATCCCTTCATTTTTCTAAAAAAATTCCAAAAAGTTTAAATAACCATCAAAACAGAACTGAAACACTATTATTTTCAAATGTCTATATGCACCATTAGAAAGGCCTAGAACTCTTTGTCTTCCTGTGGATATCGCTTGTGTAAAATATGATGAATCAAGAGCTTTACACCCAAATGCATGCTTTCCATTGATGTATTGTTGGCTGACTTGTAAAAACAATTGACTGATATAAATGTATGCATTTGTCCACTTATAATTATACTTCAATATACGTATGTGAGCCCACCCACAGTGGATAAGTACCTGGAATAATATTTACAGCTGTTCTAAGTCATTACCCAAAAGAATAGCAAACTGGTTCCTTTAATGTCTACTTATGCAACATTGCATTAAAAGACTGCATTAATCGGGCGGGTCAAGTGGCACGGTGGTTAAGAGCTGGCTTGGGACGCCAGAGGGCCCCAGTTCGGATCCCACATATGAGGGCCAGTGACACTGCCCTCTACAGCTAAGATGCTGAACAACAGCTCAACCTGGAGCTGGGCTACCGTGTGTAGCCATCAGCCAGCGTGAGCGGCCAGCAGCCGCAGTGAGCGGCTGTCCAGAAGCCGGAGACTGACCTGCCTAACCCCAGGAAGAGCGCAATGATGTTGCCAACTTGGCCCAGTGAAGCAACGTCCTCCACAACTAGACTGAAGAACAAAAGGACAGCAACTTGTCTGTTTCCCTTCCCCCAATTCCCCAGAGCTGTTCCCATCCCCCAATTCCCCAATAAAAATCTAAAAAAAAAAAAAAGACTGCATTAATCATTAATGTTATAAAACAGTCTCATCATTGCTTCACGTTCTCCCTCTCAATTACACAGTTTATTCAATCAACTATTTGTAGAAATGTATTTCCATTTCCTTAATCAAATGATCAATTGGCAATCTGCCTCAACATAGAGCAAGAACATGCACTCCTCTGTACAGATGACTACATGCTCCTTACCAAAGTGATAAGAGCCTCGACTATTAATTGGTTGGGACTAAGAATCTTAAAATTGTTTTAATGATTATCCATGTTTTATTATATGCCTTAAAAAGTAGTGCATGCATAGCTTATTTTTTATTCATGTATGTATTTCTTTATTAGTGGGCTAATTTTATTATAATAATTAAATTCATAACCCAAATCACGAGAGCCCAAGAATAAGGTGCTATAGGCTCACTTCCTATTTCGGAGGATAATGGGGTGTCTCATCGTAACGGACCTCAGAGTTGCAGATGGGTTTAATCAAAATTCTTGTTTCAGAAACCCCATGACATTCATCACTGGTCCATGCTGGGAATTGTTTTAATTTATTAATTTTCTGATTCACAAATAATAATAATACAATCACAAAATTCTAAAACAAGACCCTTAAATTCAGGCACTTGTCCCATTGAGCTAATAAACTACACCTCTTTCGTGATGGAACTCAAGCTGCACATGCGGACGGGCCAACATCCCTGCATTGTGTAGTCAGCACTTCCTGTGTGGCCCTCTTTTATTTAATGCGCCCCTATGTCAAAGATGTCTCAATGAAAAATAATGAAACCACCATCTTTGATCACCTCTGGGCTGTCCCCAAAGAGTGACCAGCCAGCTCTACCCATATGACAATGGTTAAATCAACTATGGCAGAAAATAAAGAATAATATTAAGGGGCTCTGAGACTAAATTAAGTAACTTTTGTCTTCTTTTAAAATGACCTCAGATGTGATGGTTTAGATTAAATATAATTTTTGGCATATAACACATTCCCATCGCTGACCCACATTTGGAGCACTTTCATTTCATATATATAGTAAAGAACAACTACTTTGAAATTTTTCACATAAGACCTATGAACAGACTATGCAGAGAATGTGAACTAAGAGACTTACTTATATTCGTCTTTATGCTCCTTGCACACGATGATGGCTCTTTAAGTCAGCTGTCTTATGTTCACTCTGGAGAGGAAAAGATTTAGACTGGATTTAGATTCCTTTAAAACAGTTGTTAGGCAGAACTAGATAACAAGAAACTTTGGCTCAAAAATGTAATTTTTTGTTAATTCAGCATTGAATTCTTAGCTTTAAATAATACAATAAACACTATTATGTCTACCACCTGGCCCAAGATTAAAATCTATAACAATACAAATATCCACCTATATGAACATCTATTAAGTAGATGGCTATTTAATGGGTTATTGACTGATGCAAACACGTTCCCATTTCTTAATGTAGAAAAAAAACCCAGCAGGCTACAAAAAACTCAGAGCACCGCCTCCTAACTACAGACACTGGTATGTTCCATAGGAAAGGGTTACAGACGAAACCTGTCCATTTTACTTCAGAAATGTATTAACGTTAAAGCTTATTGTATTGCACTCTCCTAATTGTTCCATGAGTAGGCCTGTTGGTCTTTCATACACACATTTCTTTATTTACTCATGCATTGATTCACTTGAAATAATACAATCCATATCCATGAACTACAGAAGCCCAGGGACAAGTTTATCGAATTTTCCTAACTTCTACTCCTAGCTAATTTCTACAGGGAATATTGACCGGTGCTCTTTCCATAATGGACCTCAGAGTCACGCAGAGGGCTTAATCAAAGGCATTGATTCAGTACCTCCACCAATACTCATCATTGATCCAGGCATGGCTTTCTATCGCTCCACTCATTTATGGTGTTGAATTGATTCACTCATTCCCAGGTTCACGAATAATATATGATAAATAACCTTTAATGACACAAAACTGAGAATGAAAGCCTTAAATACAACCAAGATCTGTTCACTGCCCTTGAGCAAACAGACTCAAACTCTTCACATGAACCTGTTTTACATGTCGGGACAAATCAGCTCCCCCACTTCCTGTCTGTCCCTTTCTTATGATTAGTGTCCACCTGCTCCCCCCTCACTGGACTTGTCCACATATTAAAGTCGGTGTAATCAATAACCATAGGCCTATCATCTTAGCCCACAACTGGCATCTACCATCTTCTAAGATACTCCAGCCTCAAAGAGTTAACAACTCAGAACGTTATCAAAGAAGGAAGGCATGAGGCAAATGTGACAGGAACATAAAATAGGAAGTTAAACTGCTCTGAAAATATGTGAAATGTCCTCTGCCACTTGAGTGATGGCCCTTAGTGGGGCTGAGTCGAAATAATCATAAATTTTAGTTCATTCGACACATTCGAATCATGGACTCATGATCGACATTCCTTAATTCCATGTATTATTACTATTTTATTGAAATCATTTCATGGGCTCCCATGTATAACCCCCATCTAAGCTTAGAACACCAACACTGATGTTTACTTACATCAGCCTTTACGCTCCTTAGTCCCAGAGGTAACAAACAGCCAGGGTCTTCATGATTACAGGATGATTCAATCAGCGGTATGGAGTTCATTCTATAAAGGAAAAAAAATAGCCTACATTTTAAAACCACGAAGACACAGCTCGCCTTTTTAAACTGAAATTTATCAGAAGTCTAGATTAATCATAAACCCCACTTCACATCACATTCTCATTTTCCCAAGAATGGCAATCTTTTATTTACTTACTTAAATTTTACTATTAAATAATATAAACACCATTGAATTTACTGCTCAACACAAAATAAAAGCTATACCAATCAAAGACACCTGACTTTACTTGCTACCTACATAGGGAGAGCCACAATCATCTTTCTATCGGACTTATTTGTATAGAATTGGATTTATTTCATTTGCTTCATGGTACAATCTCACCAATCCTCCACTAAATGTATTCATCGATTTACTCACTTACTGATTTATGTTATTATTCAGGGAATAATAATATCATGCCCTCACTTTTCTAAAGAAGACTCAGAATGGTTAAATACTAACTTAGAACCAAACTACCACAACTTGGAAAGCTCTAGGTGGACCCTTCAATATATGGAAGTGCTTAGAATTTTTCCTAGAATGTGTATTGTTGGAAAACAAGATGAATCAGTATCCTTGTATTAAAACATGTGTTCCATGGTTTGCTGACTGTGTAAAATAGATTAAGATATAAATTTATTCCTTCTTTCTCTTATACAAGATCTCTCTTGTAGAAAGACATCTGTGATCTTACTCACTAGACAAAAATACAGAACAAAATATGGCTGTCCATGGTCATTGCCATCAAGTATAACAAGCTTTCTTCTCTGTTATTGTTTTAATAAAATTCAGTTTAAAAAAAATTGGATTAATTATGAGTTTTATCATATGAAACATTCTCATCATTGGTCTCTGCTTGGCTTTCAATTCTGTGGTTATTTAACCAACTACAATATATACGAGTAAATATGTTTCCATCTCCTTAGTAAAACAGTCAGCAACCCACCACCAACACAGAACAAAAACTCTCACTGTTAATGTACAAATGACTGTATACTCTTTTCCAGAGCAGAAAGGGCCTTTACTATTAATTCAATGGGAGTGGAGTCTCGAGAACTCAGCCAGATTTTAATAATAACCCATGTTTCTTTACAGTCCTTAAAAATAGGAGCATGCCCTGTCCTCTTTTTTTCATCCATTGACACATTTTGTTTTTCTGTGGGTCCATTTTATAATAAAAATACAATCCATCCCCAAGAACCACAAAAACCCACGCACAAAATAATGTGGGCTCACTTCCCACAGAGGGAATAACTATGCGTCTCTTTATGTGGACCTCAGAGTCGTATATGGGTTTAATCAAAACTCCTGTTTCAGATACCCCATGGAACTCATCATTGGTCCAGGCACGTTTTTCTTCCTTTATACTTTCGTTTATTTATTTATTCATTGATCCGTGAATAACAATACAATCATAAAATTCCAGGAACAAGATCTTCCCATTCGTGGTTCTTTCCCCATTGAGGGTAGAGACTAGATCTCATTGTACAATGGACCTCAGAGAACATGTGTGATCAATTAACATCCATATTTCATACCAAATCCACATTTATCATTGGTCCTCCTGCGGTTTTCTGTTATTTAATTAGCCCATGTTTTAAAGATGGTTCAATGAAAAGTGGCGAAACCACGATCTTGAATCCCTTCTCAAACACAATGTCTTCCATTTGCTTATGGGCTGCCACACACAGAGTTATCAGCTAGGACTACATCAATATGAAAATGTTTAAGTTGTTTGTGGAGGAAAATAAACTAATATTAAATAGTTCTAGAAATGAATGAAATGACCACTATCTTTTTTTAATTACCTCAGTTGTGCCAAATTAAACATAATTTTTTATTCAGAACATATTCCCATCACTGGTCCATACTTGGAGGGTTTTATTTCTTTTATAGGCTTTGATTCTTCTGAAACACCACTAAACACTTACGAAAAAAGCATCCCAACCAACGATGAGAACTTCGACTTACTTACTATGATCTTTATCTGCAGAGCTAACTGCCAAGACTTTGTTTCTTAGAAAATGAATGCTGTCCTGATGTCATTCTGTGGAGGACAAAGTAGAATTAACCTAGATTCTTAATGTATATTAATTACGTGAAACTAGAGAGCAATCAACTTTGATCCTTTTTCATTAGTCCAGTATTTATTTTACTTTTAAATAATGTACTAGCCACTTTTGAATCCACCACACAAGAATAAGAACAATATCTATCAAAAATATCTTTATATATAACAGTTTTAACAGAAAAGATTATTTTAATGGATGTTATTTTTGCAGAATTGAGTACACTTAAATCCTTATTTCACATTCTCAATGACTCATGCTTGATTCTATTTTATATGTTCATTTATTCATTCACTTATTCATTTATTTAATTACTTATGGGATGATTTAGCCATATGTTCATTATATTAAATAGTCAAACTGGTAAACCAGCCAGTAATCAAGAACAGAAAGACTATTAAATGCAATGATCTACCATGCCCCTTATCAAAAATGGGAGTAGGCTAGGAATTTTTCTTTCTATAACCATCAGTAGTGAAAACCCAAATTAGTAATTATCATTGTCTCATAAAACATGGTATTCATTGATCTGTATTTTCTCTTATTTTAAATAATTAAGATAGGATTTAATTCATTCATTCAGTTAAAACAATATGTAAGTATCTGTGAATACAAAGACACGAGAAATAAATCCTGAGTGATAGTAACATCTATCTTCTTGCTAGTCACAGAAATAACTGAGTGTATCATTTTGGGGTTGTTAATAGAATTTAGTGAATACAATGATCAATCATAACATTCCCCATGTGACACACCGTCAGCATGTGTTCATAACTGCTTCTCATTCGATGAGATATATCCTCAATCAAATGTCCATTTATGTAAATGCATCCTGTTTCTCTTAAAAATGGATGCAGCAAAAGCAGCGCTTTAGCGGGAAATTTATAGCATTGAATGCATATATTAGAAAAAAGGAACTAAGTCTCTGTTGACAGATGAATGGATAAAGAAATTGTGGTATAAACACACAGTGAAATATTATTCAGCCTTAAAAGAAAAGATCCTGTCATTTTCAATAACATGGGTGAGCCTGGAGGACATTATGCTTAGTGAAATAAGCCCGTCACAGAAAGAAAATGCTGCATGATCTCACTCATGTGTGGAATCTAAAAAAGCTGAATTCATAGAAGCAGAGAGTAGAATGGTGGTTACTAGGAGTGGAGAGATGGAAGAAATTGGGAGACATCTGTCAAGGGTACAAAGTTGCTGTTATGTAGAATGAATAAGTTCTAGAGATCTAATGTACAGCATGATGACTATAGTTAATAATATCATATTGTATACTAGAAATTGGCTAAGAGAGTAGATTTCAGGTTCTCCTATCACAAAAACTAAAAAGAAAGACAAAAACGACAACTATGTGAGGAGATAGATATGTTAATTAGCTTGACTGTAGTAATTATTTTACTATGTGTATGTGTAGCAAAACATCATATTGTATACCTTAAAAATAGTATACAATTTTTATTTAAAGAAAAAATTAAAAATCAGTAATTTAAGTTTCTACTTTAGTAAACTAGAAAAAAAAATTAAATCCAAAGTAAGCAGAATAGAAGAAATGATAAAAATTAAAGCAGAAATCAATTAAATTTAAAAGAGAAAAACAAAAGAGAAAAATCAATAAAGCCAAATCTGATTCTTTGAAAAGATCAATAAAATCATTAAGCCTCTGGTCAGGCTAAGAAAAAAGAGAGAGAGAGAGGACACAAATTACTAATATCAGAAATGAAAGAGGAGAGTTCACTATAGTTCCCATGGACATTAAAAGGATTGTCACAAGATAATATGAACATTAAAAGGATTGTCACAAGATAATATGAACAACTCTATGGCCACAAATGTGATAACCTAGATGAAATGGACCTATTCCTCGAAAGACACAATTTGCCAAAACTCATACAAGAAGAAACAGACAATATGGATAGGCCAGTATCTATTAAAGAAAATGAATCAATAACTAATAACCTTCCAAAATAAAATGCATCAGGCCCAGGTGGGTTCACTGGTGAATTGTACCAAATATTTATAGAAGAAATTATACCAATTCTCTACAATCTCTTTCAGAAGAAAGAAGCAGAGGAAATACTTCCTCATCATGCTGTGAGGCCATATTACCCTAACACCAAAGCCGGACAAAAGCATTACAAGAAAGAAAAAAAAACTACAGAACAATATTTCTCATGAACAAAGATGCAAAAATCCTCAACAAAATATTAGTAAATTAAATCTTGGCAATGTATAAAAAGAAATATACAATAACCAACTGAAATTTATCCAAAGTATGCAATGCTGGTTCTACAGTCCAAAGTCAATTAATTTACTCTGTCACATCAACAGGTGAAGGAAGAAAAATCATATCATATGAATCAATGCAGGAAAAGTATTTGACAAAATCTAACACCCATTCACAATAAAAACTCTCAGTAACTATGAAGACAGGAATTACCTCAAATTGAAAAAAATCCTACAGCTCAATCAGACTTAATGATGAGAAATTAGAAGCTTTCCCACTAAGATCAGGAGCAATGTAAGGATGTTCCCGCTCTACACTCCCTTACAACATTGTACTGGAAGTTATAGCTCATGAAATAAAACAAGAAAAGGTATGCTATTAGTGAAGGAAGAAATAAGACAGTCTTTTTTAACAGATGACATGGTCACCTGTGTAGAAAATATACATTAAAGTCAATCACTTTCCTATATACCAGCAATGAACAAGTGAAATTTGAAATTAAGAACACAATACTATTTACATTAGAACCCCAAAAATGAAATACTTGGTGTAAATCCAACAAAATATGTACAAGGTCTATATGAGGAAAACCACAAAACTGATAAAAGTAATCAAAAAAGAACTAAATACTGGGTTGTCAGAAAAGTCATAATGCACTTTTGCAACAAAAAACAGAAAAAATCTGTCATGACTTTTCCGACAACCCAATAAATGGAGAGATATTCCATGCTCATGGACAGGAAAAGTCACTGTCAAGATGTCAGTTCTATCCAACTCGATGTGTAGATTCAATGCAATCCCAACAAAATTCCAAGCAAGTTATTTCGTGGGTGGAGGCAAACTGATCTTAACATTTATATGAATATAGGCAATCGACCCAGAACAGCCAACACAATACTGAAGAACAAAAGTTGGGGGACGGGCATTACCTAATTTCAAGACTTACTGTGAAACTACAGTAATCAAGACAGTGTGGTATTAGCAAAATAGACAAATCAATCCATTAGCAAAATAGACAGAACAGAGAGCCAAGAAAATAAGCCCACTAAAAGAGAGCCAACTGATCTTGGATGAAGGAGCAAAGGTAATACGATGGAGCACAACAACCTTTTCAACAAATGGGGCTAGAACTGGAACTCCACATGCAGAAAATGGGATCTAAATACAGGACTTACACAAAAATTAACTCAAAACGGATCATAGACTGAAATGTAAAAAGGAAGACACTAAAACTCCTAGAAAATAACATAGGAGAAAATGTAGATGACCTTGGGTTTGGTGATGAATTTTAAATACAACACCAAAGATGATATATCAGAGAAATAATTGATAACCTAAACTTAATTAAAACTAAAAATTTCTGCTCTGCAAAGAAACTGTCAAGAGAACAAAAGACAAGCCACAGACTGGGAAAAAAACATTAGCAAAAGACATATCTGAAAAATGACTATTTTCCAAAACATACAAAGACACCTTAAAAATCTACAACAAGAAAAAAAGCAAACAATTAAAAAATGAGCTGAAGACCTTGACAGACACATCACCAAAGAAGATACACAGATGGCAAATGAGCACATGAAAAGACGCTCCACATCAGATGTCATCAGGGAAATGCAAATTGAAACGAGATACTACTACACACTATTAGAACAGGTGTTTGGCGGTTTCTTAAAAAACTAAACATAATCTTACCATAAGATCTAACAATCACTCCTTGATATTTACCCAAAGGAGATGAAAAATGATGTCCACCCAAAAACCTGCATATGGATGTTTATAGCAGCTTTGTTCATAATTGCAAAAACATGGAAGCAACCAGGTGTCCTGCAGTACACAAAAGGATAAACTGTGTTCCATCCAGGCAATGGAACATTATTGAGCACTAAAAAGAAATGAGCTATCGAAACCATGAAAAGGCATGGAGGAACCTTAAATGCATATTACTAAGTGAAAGAAGACAATATGAAAAGGCTGCTTACTATATGATTCCAACCATATAACGTTCTGGAAAAGGCAAAACTGTGGTGACAGTGAGAGGATTAGCGGTTGCCAGAGGTTAGAGGGGGGAGACAGGTGAACAGGTGGAGCACAGCGGATTTGCAGTACAGTGAAATATTCTGTATGATATGCTAATGATGGATACATGTCGTTATACATTTGTCTAAAGCCATTAAATTTACAACCAAGAGTGAACCCTATTGTAAATCATAGACTTTGGGTGATAATGACGTGTCAGTGTAGGTTCGCCAATTATAACAAATGTCCCGTCTGGCGGGGGAGGCTGATGGCGGGGGAGGCTGTGCGTGTGGGTGGGGAGGGGCATTATGGGAAATCGCTGTACATTCTGCTCAATTTTGCCGTGAACCTAAAGCTGTCCTAAAAAATGAAGTCTCTTCAAAAAAGAGGCAACATCAAAAAAAAAGAAAAAAAATCTGCTACCCATCAACAGCAACATTGACTCTTACACATAGTTCTCTTTATGTTCCTTACCCCAAAGTGTAAGAGCCTTGATCTATTTATTTTACTGGAACTCAACACTTCCAAATTGTATTAGTCCTGTTCTTTATTTCATTACATGCTCCCATAATTAGTGCAATTAAGACCCTCCTTGTCTTCATTCATCTATGCATTTCATGCTTTTATTCACACATTGACTTACTTATAAACGTGTAATCTATTCTGAAGAATGCCAACAGACCAAGAACAAGATTTGACACTTCCTGACTTATGCTATGTGCTCCTTTC